CTAAAAAAATAAAATTTAAAGATACTGATGATTTTTCGACAAGGTAAAAAACATTTAATCTGAAAATATATACAAATAGCATGGTAAAAATGTAATAGTTATTTGAATTATTTCCACCTTTATCATTTTTATTTTCATTTTTGTTCGACAGATTTCTTAAAACAGCATTTATAATAGAAAAAAATGTATCTCTTTTCAACTCTGCATGTAAACATGTAGATATAGTTACCACTATCCTTGAATACTTGAAAAATTTCGGTGTAAAATTTATGTTTGATATTGAGTTTGGTACGTACGTATGACATTTTTGCAAGCATTTGTAAAAATATATCAACATATATGTTTTCTAATTATACCTTTATATTTATTTTACTTATAAGTATGAAATGCATATACAGTATATCATATAAAAATAAGCACTCGTATTAGATAATTTGAGGAGAAATTCTTTCGTCTTGAATTTTTATTTTATTTCCTAGACAATTTAGATGAAGAATACAACAAAGAAGAAATAATCTTATCGGTAGTGCTTACAATCTTCAATATATGTACAGAACACAAAATACAATTATTTCTGGAAAATGCTATCATGTAACTGCTTTTAATATTTGTTTAACATGTTATATTTCTTATATTTCTTATATTAAAATTCTAATATATTATACATAACACATATGCATATTTATATATACATGCATACATACTGCACTGATAAGATACTATTGAAAACGGTTGATCCTGAGCAAAAATTTACACGACTATCAATAAGGCCTCGAGAATCCGATAATTGAAAAACGACGACATTATCGACAATTAATAAAAATTTGCGATTAACATTAACAAACATTTCGATAAGCATTATTCATGATTTTTTTTTATTATAATACATATTACATAATAATATAAATACTCTATAAATAAGTATGCATACTTTTAATGCTGTGGTCAAAGTCTCACTACAAATGCTTTGAAACATTTGATGGACCAATTAGAAAAAAAAATTTTACAAACTGACCAATTAAAAAACGTTTTAAGTGTTTGCAGCATCGTGTTGATTCCTGTAATATTTTATTACAGCAGCATGTTTGCAACATCACCGAAAAATTATAATTTTTTTCTCTGCAATTATTATCTCTATTGATAATCAAACTCTGATGATAATATTAAAATCAGAATTTTAAATAAAAAGACAGAGTATTATTAAATTTTAAACATATATACATATCCATGAAACTAATAAATCATGAAATTAATATCATATATGTGTATAAATCAGTTTCTTATTATTTTCAATCACTTAAATTTTAATAGTCATGCGAATTTCTGTAAGAATCGACTGTCTTTATTAATAGTATCTCATCGATGACACATAGTAATTTTATAGATACATTACTTTTTTCAGCAAAAATTCAATACTAAATCAAATCCAATACAATTCTTTGAAAAATGAGCTTTTAAGTAAGAATAATATATTTGTAATGTAATAAAAATATATGTTTTAATTTTTAATTAAAGATTTTTAAATTTCGCGTAGATCAAACCAACGAAATGATACTTCTAAAGGATTCAGATTTGTATACAGTCATTAATTATTTAATGAGAATAGGAAGTTCTCGTATAAATAAAATTTGGGTCCAAGTAACAATTAAGCAGAAATTTTTGTCGCTTATAAAGAAATATTTTCATTATAAAGATTTTCATATATTTAAATCGACCATTCATATATTTAAATTGACGAAAGAATTTGTACCCCGCACGTCATATAACATGAATATAATATCTATATGGACAGAAGATCTTGTATATGCAAGATATTTAGCAACAGTTTTAAATGTATGTACATTAATTAATTATTTAATTAATTATTTAAAGCAATATTACGGAAATTTCGTCTCATAAACAATATTAAAATATAATTTCCATTGTTAATTCAGAGAGACATTATATTTGTAAATGTGCATATGGATCTCTATGGTGGGGACATACTTTTACCATATGTAAAAGTATTTGGCAAAATATATGAAGGATTTAAGCTTACTTTCAATGATAATTCGATACAAATACCAAGTGCAAATGAAGTAAACCTCTTACATGTTCCTAATAAGGAATCTATGCCAATCTGTAATTTATTTTATGACGGCAAATGGCACAAACCCGTAAAAAACATATATTGGAACCGTAATAATATGTTATGGGCAAATGCGACAAAGTATGAATGCATATATGTATTAATTGTTAAACTTTAATATATTTTTTCTTAATTTTAAGTTTGATAAAATTTATACATTAAACGTAATCAATTATTTATTACAGAGATGATATTAAGATCTGTTTTAATTCCGCTATAGAAGGATTCAAGATTTGGAAAACTTGGTCAATTGCGAATAGAATAGACGTGTTATCTCAAATGATAACAATACTAAATTGTAATAGGTTAGATTATTAAAATTTTATGTGTGTGTGTATATATCTATTTATCTATATTCTCTTATTTAAATTTATATTGTTCTATGTTTCTTTACTCTTTGGTTGATAATTTTCAATAATTTGTTTATTACTTGTTTTTATCTCTTTCTCTTTAGTAAATTTTCAAAAAACGCAAAATTGACTGTGTTCTCCAACTTCACTCGAGCATGGTTACTTTGTTCTCAAAATGATAGATTAGAAGTAATCCAAAGTCGTATTCCAAGAGGTGTTATCATTCTTAAAGAGAGATCTGAAGAAATTTTGATTCTTCGATTGATACAAATTTTAATTTCCGGCAATTCTGTTATTGTAATAGCTGATAAACATTCTTGTAATTTGACACCTTATTGCGATATCTTTTCAACATCTAAGATACCAAGAGGCGTTATAAATTTCTTGTTTAATCAAAATACAAAGGATTTAGAATTAAGTTTATGTGCAACAGATTATGTAAACTATGAAAAACAGTTGTTCACATCTAACTTCGAAAAAATGTATATAAATCTTACGTTATCCAAACAAATTATACTCTCTCTCAAATAATTTTATTAATAATGAACATCTATAATCATTTGCGACAAAGATAAGAGAATATGAGTACCTTGAAATATTTTTTACAATTTTACAAGAACATTTGTATATAAATTTACTAATCAATTTTCTCAAAAAATTACAGTTGGATAATTATATTGTATGTTAAAATACTTTATGAAAGATTTAGAACGTTTTGTATTTTTACTTATATAAGTATGTGTAAGTAATTATCAAATTCAAAATTACAATGTTATCATGAAAATATTTGATACTTTGACAAATTATTCATATCATGTAATATATCTTGCACATAATTGTAGCAACGATTTAAAAAATAAGAAATAGGAAAGATTTTTCTTTAATTTTTTTTATGATGGATATTGTGTATCTTATATTGTGTATCTTATTGACACAACTGTAAATTACAGATTAATTTCAATCATTTATAATTGTGTAAGCAAAATAAATTATCAGATAATGCAGCATCTCAAAATAATGTTTATTTATTTATTTACCAAGGATAATATAATTATTATGGATTAACAAACATTTTAAACATTATACTTTACATACTCCTATAATATTACAGGCCACATTTAGAAATATGTTCGAAACAAATTATTATTTATACATCTTGTGTTCTACAATAAAATATAAACAAGATTGCATGTAATGTAATAATCTGAATTATATAATGTATTCTAAATGTGGCCATTATAATTTTATAAATCTTATTTATAGAAAAGAATAGCTCAAACTGAATTTCAGCATTTTGATGTCACCAAAATACTTAGATTTCACCACTCAATAATTTCTTATCGAATAAAAATTCTCCCAAAGGTCCATGCGCTTGCATCATTTTACCCAACACTGAGATTTTGCCTGCGAGGTCGCGTTGCCCTTTATATTGTTCCTCTAAGAAATCAGTAGTGAGGTAGTCGACCAACTGTAAACAATTACGGCACAACAGTCATTTTTTATGTATATTTTATGTGTATATATATATATATATATATATATATATATATGTGTATGTGTGTGCGTGCGTGTGTGTGCGTGCGTGCGTGCGTGTGTGTGTGTGTGTGTATATACATATACATATAGATTGTTTTTAAGTGATGCTCACGTGGTAATCATTGAAAGAAGATGTTTTTGGAGTTTCGCACGTTATGATTATATCACGAATACTGCGCGTAACTTGAGCTTCTAATTTTAAAGCATCGGTGAGAGCTTCTTCTCCACTGTTCCATTCCTGGCGTATCGGATTTGTATTGTTGGTAGTCTGTATGATGTGAGAAAAATCGCGTTAGTGTTTACATTTTTTTTTTCTTTATTTTTTCATCATTTTTACTCAATAAGTTAAATTATTTGTGCAAGTTGTGTTTACTCGTGGAAAGTAGAATACTCACCAAAGGATACTTGAGAAGTTTGCTGACATCATTTGTAAGTTGTCCACGCATTAGCAAATATTCGATGATCTTTATAGCATGTTCTCTCTCTTCGCTCGCGCTTTCGAAAAAGAATTTGCTAAAGCCTGGGCGATTTATAGTATCACGTGCAAAGTGAGCACCCTATATAATGAAAAATTAAATCTTAATATAACACGTTATAGTCAATCTGTTTTCGTTAATTTATAACAGGTTGTAGAGATTATATTGTGTGTGTATGTATATATAAAATAAGAGAGAAAAAGAAAAAATATATATTAACAAGTAGACTATATACCATCGCGAGATATTTCATAGCAGCTTCCATTTCAGTTTTAACTTGAGATTCCATGAGTTTTGTGCACGGATCGGTCATGTCTATCCATGATGTTGGTATATCAGCAGGTTTAAGAAGACCTAAAGAGATATAATAAAATGATTAATGGTTAATTATTAAATATATAAATACTATAAATAAAAGCCTTATTGAATTTATTAATTATTAATTATTTTCTATGATGAAATTTGTCTACTATATTGCGTGATAATTCATTTCTTAATTAAAAAACAAGGCATTACTTATCGAACTCAGTTATCGAAAAGATTAAATATTTTATCAATGCGTGACTGATCGCTCATAATGTTGATAGCATCTCTGTTAGCAATAAATGATTAACATTAAGAATAATCACAACGAGATATTTTTTCTGTCACATTACTTTTATTTTCATTTGTATCTTTATTTCTACTTTTTTACGCACATTGGAAAAAATGTAAATTATTCTCAATCATAAAATTAACTGTTTTTATTATGTTTACATAATAAATGAATTAATTTGTAAAACATGCAATTCTATCTTACACACACACACACACACACACACACACACACACACACACACACACACACACACACAC